GTTTTAGACAGTCAGGTATGGTCAGTTCTCTCAGAAGAGTTTTATCTTGTACTTCAAAATAATGTAACTCTATTTATTTAAAAAAAACTGTAGAAATAAAAGATTTTCTAAACGACTTCAACATTATTTGCTGAATATACTTCAGCAAACTTGATCTTTTTTGTCTGATGCTCCTTTTAGCAACTGTTTTACTAATTTTAGCTTTTTGTAATATTTGCATTTAGCTGTTCTAGTGCACATTTGGGCATTTAGCTACTGTTTTGCTTATTTTTGCTTTTAGCTAATGTGCTAATTTACTGTCATTTTAGCTTTTGCTTTTATTTTTCATTATTACTGAGTTTCTATGTTTTCATCATTTTAATTTTTGCTTTGTAATTATGCTGCAGTTTTGTTCATTTGAACATCTGTTCTGCTMCTTTTACCTGCTGTTCTGCATTATCCCCAACACATTATTAAGCACTAACTGATACATCATATCAAATCTAGTTTAAAAAATTTCCCCTAAATATTGGACTTAATCGTATGTTGTCTGTTAGCAAAATATCTCATGAACAACTGGACGGATTTTAATAAAACCTGCAGAAAGTAATCACAGGATAAACATCTACAAATCGTTAACTTTTAAAGTCAACCTGTTTCAAGATGGCCACCACAGCCAGCTGAACTTAGCCAATGAAAAGATGATTTTAATTCAATCAGTTGTGCCGATACTGAGCTAAAACTTGATGTGGCATCCCAAAGCACTACACTGTGAAACATTTAGCCTTAAAAGTTTGACACTAACTACTGACAGTAACTATATTGCAGCTTTTTTAGTTAATGCAGAAAAACAATTAAAATTGATTAAATGTATCCATTTTATAACTAAATTACAAATACATTTAGATGCTCTAGATTTTTTGTAGATTATGTAAAGTTAACCAGTTCTTGCATCCTTCACAAGCTGTAACCACGGGGAAGTTTTCCTCTTATCACAGATCTGCAAGCTGCCTGACTCTTTGTGTTAATGATTCACATTCACACAGTGTGGATCAGGTCCCAGTTTTCCACAGACTTATCCTCAGTGATTTGAGTGTTCATCATGAATGAGCTGACACTTGAGTGATTAACACATGTCATTAGCTGTGTAATGCTGCAGTGTGTGTGTGTGTGTTGTAAAGCTGGTTGTACACTAGCAGAGAGGGCCTTGAGCATCACATTTCACCTGGTTCCACTGTGCAAAGTGATACAGCAGGATACCTGTGTGTATATGTGTGTGTGTGTGATATCCCCAGGTCTTGTTCCAGAGCAGCAGTTACACACACAGACAGAGGAGACCCACGACTAACAGCTAGTGAAGCATTCAGAGCTCCTGACAGGATGTTAGACTTCAAGACTTTTCTGCGGTGTCGGCAGGCTCTGTCTTAGCGGGGCACAGAGCACAACAGAATCGAGTGACGCTCTGGATCTGGACTCGAGCCGTCTGGGCGACTGCTTTGCTAAATAATTGATCTGGTGAGAAGCAAAAAATGAGGAGGGCAGCACTGATGGTTTGGATAAGCCTTCTGGTGCAAGGTRAGTTCTCTGCAGGTTTAGATCTGTTTTCTGCATCTAACTGATGAACAGTTTTGTTGTCTGGTTCTGTAACTACTTTTATACAGTTGCAACAATAAAAACTGTTGTGTAAATTTACTATATCTATGRTGCCTCCTCTTGTTCCCACAGTGTCCTACGGCGCTCAGGGTCATTATGCTCACAAGCTTTTGAAAGACCTGATGGAGGACTACTCCGACGCTCTGAGACCTGTAGAGGACACGGACAAAGCCATCAACGTCTCCCTGCAGATCACTCTGTCACAGATCAAAGACATGGTGAGTGGAGACGGGTTAAATGTACAAATGATGCACCTCACTGAACAGAAAAATGCTACTTTACAACTGGATCATGTAAAAATGCTTTGTTTTGACCATGGGTTTGTATTTAGTTTAAGACAACTTCACATTGTAATCTATTCTATGTGGTTTATGCACAGTCTGAATAAGTTGTCTTCACCATGTCTAGGTGTTGATCTGCACTGAATTGACTGGATGATTAGATTAAAATTAGAATAAAAAATCTTTCTTTTGCAAGGGTTAGGCTATTATTTCATTAAAAAATCAAATAAAAAATCAAATAAAACTATTTTATTATTGTTGTTTTATTCCCTGCAACATTACTATTTAGCAGCAAGAGAATAAGCARCTTTTCAAGTTGCACTGATGCAGGAATCAAACCTGGAACTGGTTATAAGACTAAACAGGTCAGATGTGTGTTCTGAGTCATGTTTTAACAACTAATTTGGAATCTACTGCAAAGGAAACATGAACAAATCTGAAATATAAATTTAGGTTCTATTTAACAACAAAGATTGGGACAGTTTCCATTCTGTCTGACCTCTTGAGTGATTGTAATTATTTTAATATTCACAATTAGAACAAACACAAAAAGAAAAACACTATGAGTAACTGTGAAGGAGTGTTTTGTTTCCCGAGTGGATGTTTTTATTAGGGGTGCAACGTTACAGAAAATTCACAATTCGGTTCGGTTCAATATTCTAGCCTCATGGTTCAAGATTTTTTTCGATACGAAAAAGAGAAATTTCCATGCCGATCTTAACTTGTAATTTATTGAAATTAATWATGAACATTTGTTTAACCTCAAAACTACAGTTTTTAAATTAAATGTTGCTGAAACAGCAAGTTTCTCAGTGGCTCTGCGCTCAGCAATACAGCCTACAGGTGGAGTAGTTGAACACAGATCACCTCATCTTCAGAAGACAAGCAGATAAAATAAATATTAAAAATCTGTATTTTGCAACACAAGTGCAGATTAAACCTAACGGTTCGATACAGATACATGTATTGTTGCACCCCTAGTTTTTATGCATATTTAAATTTTCCTTTCAGTTAAACATTCGTCCACAAATATCACAAGCAAACGGTTCATCTCCTGTGTGAACGTGCATGTCTGCCATGTGTATGTTTAAGCTTACTTTTTGGTTAAAGCTTCGTCCACAAATGTCACAACCAAATGATTTTTGTTTTGTATGACTTCTCATGTATGTGTTTAGATAGGCCATGCTACAAATGTTTGGTCACAAACGTCACAACCAAAATGTTGAGCTCTTGTATGGCGACTCGTGTGTGTTTAAATGGACCTTACTGCAAAATCTTTGTCCACAGACATACAACCGAACGGTTTTTGTCTGGTGCGGATTTTCATGTGGGTGTTTAAACATCCCTTTTGGGTAAACCGCTGTCCACAAACATCACAACCGAATGGTTTCTCTCCAGTGTGGCTTCTCTTGTGCGTGTTTAGATCCGGTTTTTTAGTAATTTGTTTTACCGCATGTTGTCACAACTAAATCATTTCTGTTTTGTCTGGACTTCCCTGTGTGACGCTACATTTTTGTTCACTCCAAGAAATTTCTTATTATCCAAAGAACCTGAAGACTTTACTCCTAAATGACTTGTCGCGTGTTGCTGAAGAGATTGATCATGAAGAAAAAGTCTATCTACCTCARTCACCTGAAAGATTTGTTGACGGTGTTTACACTCGACTCGGGAGACTTGCTCTCCTCCCAGTTTTCCTTACTGTCATCGGTTTTTGGCCCCAAGTCTGACAAGTTTTTTAACTAAACATCAGAATGGTTCTCATCCTCTTCATCTTCATCATGATCACTGACTTCAGTCTTTGACTTTTTTTACATAACTTGTTTGTGGCTGAAAACAACTTGTAGGATGATGCTCAGTCGCTCATTTTTATTCAAAGACAAAAGCTTTCTGCTCATTAATCACAGTTGTCCTTTAGAAAAGTCAGTCTCTTTCCTTTTGTGCATTTTATTTTACCTTTCTTCTTCTACTTCTTCTTTGCGGTAGGCAAAAACCCGAAGGTGTGTATTACCACCAAGCAGTAAGGTGTGTGGTTCATCATGATTTATTTCTTAAATCTATATACGGATATTCAAATTCTATAAATTAATCTTTTTTCAATATTTCGTCTTCTTTTGTTGCTTATCATCAAGCTTAGAGGTGCGTATCTGCAAACATCTGCTATTTCTTTTCCTTTTTCTTTATTTTTTTGCTTCTATTTGTTTTATTTGTGTTTAGGATGAGAGGAACCAGGTGCTGACCACCTACCTGTGGATCAGGCAGGTCTGGCACGACGCCTACCTGAAGTGGAACAAAGAGGACTACGATGACTTAGAGATGATCAACATCCCCAGTGACCTGGTCTGGAAGCCGGACATTGTCCTCTACAACAAGTCAGTGACAAGAGGCAGGGCTCAGCAGGAGGAAATATGAGAAACTTAAATAAGAAAACAGTCAATCTGGACGGGTGTTTGTAATAATAAATGTCTTTTTTTCCCCTCTTTCCTTCCATGTGCAGAGCAGACGAGGAGTCGTCAGGACCGTCTAACACTAATGTGAAGCTGCGTTATAATGGAGAAATTGTTTGGGACTCTCCTGCCATCACAAAGAGCACATGTAATGTAGATGTTTCTTACTTCCCTTTTGACTGGCAATCGTGCAACCTGACCTTTGGCTCCTGGACGTACAATGGCAACCAGGTGAGACATGTAGAATAAGAAATTATAATAATACAGATGGCAGAAATTTAACTTTGAATTATTTTACATGACACTTTGGGTACATGAAAGTTTAGCTTTTGATTAAGCTCTGATTTGGYTTCGCCTTTTCCCCGTGTCTCAGCTGGACATCAGTTTGGGGATGGACAGTGGCGACCTGGAGGACTTCGTGGAGAATGTGGAGTGGGAGTGTCACGGCATGCCTGCAGTCAGGAACGTCATGATGTACGGATGCTGCTCGGACCCGTACACAGAAATCACCTACACCCTGCTCCTGAAGCGCCGCTCCTCTTTCTACATCTTCAACCTACTGCTGCCCTGCTTCCTCATCTCCTTCCTGGCTCCTCTGGGATTCTACCTGCCGGCCGACTCRGGGGAGAAGGTCTCTCTGGGGGTGACGGTTCTGCTGGCCCTCACTGTGTTTCAGCTGCTCGTGGCTGAGATCATGCCTCCTGCAGAAAATATGCCCTACATAGGTCTGATTTATTCTTTGCGTTCTGTTTTCATCACAAAATTGAATCACTGCAATCAAAAAGATGGTTTCTATCATAAAAAGTTACAAATAAATGATATTTTTAATGTTTGATTTAAGATTTTTGCTGTACTGATGGTTTAGTTTTGTTTCCACATGACTTAAAGGGGCAATATTATGTGTTTCTCTGGCATATATTAAAATTCTATACCATAATAAAAGTTACTATGTCACCTTCAGTTGTTAATAAAATGTTGTTTATATGTTTAAATAGAAAGTAAACTTGACTTCTCATCATATCTGTTTCTAAACGCCTTGAAATTGGCCTCTGTCTCTTTAAGAACCTCCTTCTGCTTCTGTCCCGCCCATTTCAGCTCAGGGCTGGGTGGGTTTATGTGCTCTGTGATGAGGAAGCTCAGCTTGGAAACACAGCCCAGAGGAGGAGATGATCCCAAAAGGTGGTTCTAGTCCCAACCAGTCCTTTTTGCTCCCCTGCCTGGCTGCCTCAGGGCACTACAGGATTTCTCAAACATGCATGAAWGAGTCAAAGCAAGGCTCTGGGCATGTTTTTGATGAGAGGATAACATTATAGCATGATACAAAACTCAAAAAAGTTGATTTTACATAACATTGCCCCTTTAGTTTTAGATAAAAACATYCAATTAACCCTTAAAAATCAATTTTTTTACTCTCTCCTATAGGAAAGTACTACATTGCCACTATGACTATGATCACAGCCTCCACCTCCCTCACCATCTTCATCATGAACATCCATTTTTGTGGTGCCGAGGCGAAACCGGTCCCACACTGGGCGAAGGTGCTAATCATCGACTACATGTCCAAGATTTTCTTCGTCTACGAAGTCGGGGAGAACTGCACGACCCCAGAGAGTGCGAGGACTCCGCTGCACCCAGAGGAGCCCATGGGAGACAAGGGGTGCTACTATGATGACAGCTTCCACCATCAGGACGCCAAGTCGCACAAGTACAGCAACGGCCAAGCCAGACATCACCACAGCAAGCGTCACAAAAGCCAAGCGAACGGCAGCGCCAACGGCAGATATCACCATCACAACAACCAGAACCATCAAGCCTCCAGGCTGGAGAGGGGTGAGACGAATCACCACATCGGTAGGGACGAACTGGACTACCAGAGCCCTCCCCATCCAAGAAACCTCCCGCACTTGAACGGGGGTCTTGAGCAGAGCTTCRACCCGAAAGAGAAGTATCAGATCCCATCATGCCCCTGCTGCTGCCCCTGCCTCCAACATAAACAGGTGACACATCACACCTGCTTGATCTTTTCCCTCCTCCCTCCGAGCTTCTTTGACGCCTCCGTCTGTGTTTCAGGTGGTGAAGAACATCCAGTACATCGCCAACTGCTTCCGTGAGCAGAGAGCAACGTGTGTCAAAGTGGCAGAGTGGAAGAAGGTCGCCAAGGTGATGGATCGATTCTTCATGTGGATCTTCTTCATCATGGTCTTCCTCATGAGCATCCTCATCATCGCCAAGGCGTCCTGACAGCTTCGCTGTCCTGTTTTTCTACCAACAATCATCGGCCTCAGTGTTACTTCTTTTAGTTTCAACATAAATGTTAGATTCAACCATATGGTGTCAGTAACGTGTTTGTGGTTTTTGCTCTGACAGCACTGACCGACTCAACCAGGAAGAAAACTTCATCAAGCCCTCTCAGTTAGTTAAAGTCAGGTGTACCTGCGTGTATCATGAAGTGGTGGAGCCGTAAGACAATCACGTCCTCTCGCCTCGGACATGCACACGCTCTTTATTATTGATGAGCTAACAGCCAGACATCCAGTTTTATGTTTCTTACATTCTGTTTTAAGGTGGATGACGTTTGTCGTCTTTGTTGTGTGTATTCTGTGTGCACAAAGTGGAGCAGCATAATCAAGTAACACAACACAGTTTTATCCATGATCAAGTTTGGGGAGGTTGCCAACGCAGTCTGTGCAGGTGCTGATAAAATAAAGCAGGTTTGTGACGTTGTCTCACTTAGAATTTTTATTTAAAAATTCAAGCCCGTCTCACATTATGTGAAATGTGTAGTTCAGATCTTTTGAAGTGGTGTTCGYTGGAAATGTTATAAAGATTTAATATCTTGTCATATTGCTCTTTGAGTAGCATCTGATTGAACAAAAACAATTGATTTTGTGAACAGATTGGACTGCTGTCATCCTGAAATACCTCCAGTCTTGAAAAGTTTTGGAGCACTTTGAGTGAATGCTGCTTTAGAAAAGTTTACATTGTCTGAAAATTGAATTCCTCTGTTATTCCAGCAGAAATATTATGATGTACTCACTTGAAGTGCTACAGCTAGCTGCCACCACTTCCCACTTWAAAATAATCATAGAACTTATGACACCTACCACTCCTTGATGTAAACTTTGACAYCAGTAAAGCTTTATAAAGTGGTGTTCACATAAATTGCTATAYAATTGGAGAATAGCTGTTAAATCTTCAATTTTRTCAGAGTTAAACTGTTTTGCTCCAGTCTGTGATCGTTCAAGAAACTATCCAAAGCAGGTAAGATAGTAGTTGTTTGGAATCTCTCCACAAAACCCTCCCTTCAAAAGACCCGAACTGTCCCTTTAAGTTTAGCTTCAGTCAAAAACAAAGAACTGATATTCTGTTAAAATAATTTWACTCTGTTTTGGTGGTGTGTTTAACTTTAAATTTAATTTGTTGCTCGGATGTCTTGTTTTTAGTTTTATATCTGGATGGGGTGTTGGTTTTTAATCTGGAAGTTTACAACCCATAAATATAAACACAATTTAACTGTCTCCTTCAAGGCTGCAGAGGCCGAACAGCAAAAACTTCAGTATAGTCTCTGCAGGTTTTTCATTTTCACCAACAGTCACTAGAGGGCAGACATTRCACAACTATATGTGTGTACATGTTAAACAAAACTCCTACATCTAAATTAATAATGCCAAAGGTGACAAATAAAACAAATTGTCCAYTTTTAAGTGATAATAGTGAACAAAATTTCATAAACATTAAAAAACTAATGTTTTTCTTTTTACAATTAATTGTATTTAGAGATTTATTCTTTAACATTTGTTGGACCAACGACATCAGAGCATCAACTCTGCTGTGTTCTGTGAAAAAGGTCTTCTAAGACCAGCTGAATGCACTGATTCATCATTAATAGTAAATAGTGTCTCTGTTTTAGTTGGATTGGACCTAAGAATGCAAACAAGAAGAAAARTTAATTAAATTTTTTGAAACAAGGCCGTCACAGTAGCAAACACAAACATRTAAAAGTACTGGGGCTGATGAGAGAATTGGCTGCAYCTGTGACAAGAAGCAGGTGAAGTACTGACAGACAGAGAAGCAGCTGGTGGCACAGAGGAACACATGGGAACAAATCTAAACACAAGGGGGTAAAAACATGAATGAATCAAAGAAGCAGAAAAGAACTCAAAACAGAAAACATAAAAATTGTCACAAAACCACAAAAAAATAAATTAAAAACTCTGATTGTGACAAAGAATTTAATGGGATGGAATGACAACTCAGGTGCAACACAAATACATTAAAAATCTAATGGTGTGTTTCTAATGGAAGAGGAAGACAAACTGAATATTTCAGGCTCAAGCATGAGTCCATTATTGCATCTATAAATAGTTGTCCCCATTTTCAGACTGTATTAACACACATCCTCCAAGATTCACCATCTTTGTTTCAGCTGTATTAAATTTTTTTTTAAATAAAACACGAGGCCAGAATAAAGACAAAACATAAAACAACAGGTAAAGATAGTAGTGACTGTAAAGTCCACTTTTTTTGCTGATGTTTGTTCAGTGATTAAAAGGATTGACCACCTCTTGTCTYAAGTCTCAGCTCATCAAGACAAATACTGCTGATAAGTGATCATCACACATAACTTCTGCCTTCATCAAGTGGAGTTTGTAAATGAAACTTACGAAATTCAAAATCTAATCAAAGTTTAGCTGCAATAAAACAACAGTTCAAATGTTTTGAAGTGAGGCTCTGTGGAAACTGTGACTAATTAACATCTTACCTGTGACAGGTAGCTTTTTGAYCAACTTCAGTTTGGAGAAAAAGAGTGTAGTTCTATATTTTTGACAGAAGACAGGYCCTGCAGGTTCCTGTTTCTCATGTTACATCAGGTGCTTCTGATCTGACCAGTGGCAGAAAAGTCTATTGATCTTGGTGGTTTCTTTAAAATAATCAGTTTACATGTTGGATAATGAGCCCATCTATCAGTTGGACTTTGATCACATTCACCCCAACTTACTCAAAATACTCCCACTTACGTATTGATCAGCTGTTTTGTACACACAGAAACCTGCTGTGCTGAACATTTCAGAGACGGACTGTTGGACCTCAGATATTAAAAATCCAATGATAAAGTTTAAAGTTCGAGTCCACGTCACAAGCTCACATGACTGTATCTATAGGGCTGGTGGCTGTTTCTCTGCTCTCAGTGTAAGAAGATGAGCAGAAACATGTCGAACACCAAACAAAGCTCCATCAGCTGCACAGGTAGGAGCTTTCTTTCTTTTTTCTGTCTTGTCATCTTGCTGTTTTCTAACTGTTTTCCCTTTTCTGTTCAGTGAAGAAGGCCTCTCCCTCCTCCACCATCATCAGAATGGTTTTACTGGGGAAGACYGGCAGCGGTAAAAGCTCCACCGCAAACACCATCCTGGGCCGTAAGGTCTTGGACCTGAAGGTCAGCAGCGTCTCAACCAGCCAGCTTGCTCGCAGGGCTAGCGGAGAGTTTCGTGGGCGGCAGCTGCTGTTGTTGGACACTCCGGGTCTGCTGGACTCTCATCAGACCACACAGGAGGTGCAGAGGGAGCTGAGGAGGAGCCTGAGTGTCCTTTTCCCCGGACCGCATGTCTTTTTGATCGTCATCCAGATTGGGAGGTTCTCTCAGGACGAGAGGGAAGCGGTGRGGCAGATCAAAGACGCCATGGGCACCCAAGGTTTAAAGTTCTCCGTCGTGGTTTTTACCCACGGAGACCGCCTTGAGGAGGGAGCGTCTGTGAAGCYCTGCCTGATAGACCAGTGCCGGGGCCTCGCTGAGCTGGTGGCCGGGTGTGGGGACAGGTACTGCGTRTTCAACAACCAGAACATCAAGAACAGGGACCAGGTGTCTGAGTTGCTCACCTTGATTGAAGGCATGATGCAGGACAACAGGGAAAGCTGCTACACCAGCAAGATGCTCCAGAGAGCAGAAGAGGACCTGGCTCTTCAGCTCCAACAGCAAACTGAGAAAGAGGAGCTTCTGAAAAAGAAGCAGGAGCAAACGTTCAAGGAGTGGTACGAAAAGGAGCTGGAGGTGGCTCAGAAGAAGATTAAGAAGGAGATAGAGGAACTGAGGATGAAACAGGTTCTGGAGAAGGAAAGGGAGGAGAAACTGGCGAGGGATCGGGAGGAGGCCTTGAAGAGAGAGGTGGAGGAGAGGAAGACACAAGAGGTGGTGACGCTGATAGAGATGGAGAAGAAGAAAAGAGACGATGTTCAGGAGAGGCTGGAAAAAGTCACCAAAATGTTAGAGGAGCAGGTGGCGCAGGAGGAGAAGATGAGACAATCGATGGAGGAGGAGATCCAAAAGAATAAAGAYGAAAACGAGAAGCAGGAGAGGCACAGGGAGCTGCAGCAGATCCAGATGGAGCAGGCCATCAGGCAGAGGGAGGAAATGGAGAGAGACTCTCTGCAGAAAGAGTTGGAGAAACTCTGCCAGAAGATGGAGGAGCTGAGCAAGAAGGAGGAGTACAGGAAAAGGCAGATGGAGGACGCGCTCCGACGAGAGCGGGAGGAGAATCAGAGAGAGATAGACATCCAGATGGAGCACCTCAGGGCGGAGAAACGGAGAACCGAGGCCTACAAGCGGGAGCTGAAGCTCACGAAAATCAAACTGGAGCAGCAAGCAGCGAGCGAAGAACGGCTGAAGAGGCTGTTGGAGGACAACCTGAAGGAGGACAGCAACAAGGGCGTGTCCTCGCTGACGAGGCTGTGTGGGAAGAAGTGTGCTGAGATGATGGAGAGGAGGTCGGCGGYGAAGCGTCTGACTGTGGCGGCCGTGACGGGATACGTGCAGGAGATGGGGGTGCTGGGCCTGAACGCAGCGCTGGAGAAACTTGGATCTCCGTGTTCGATACAGTAACAACTTCAAAGTCTCAGAAAATCCTCACTGGGTGTGCATCCACTGGTTAACTTTTAGAGTCCATCCAATTCAAGATGGCTGCCACAACCAACATGACTAAAACTGTACAGATGACAAAAATTTGCTGTGGTGTGCAAGTTTTTTCCAACACTCTGTGCGATACATTTGTTCATAACTTTGGCATTAATTCTTGGAGTCAACTTTGTCAGTAAAATATCTCATGATCTACTGGACATATTATATGAAACTCTCAGAAAYAAATCACTCCAATCCCTAATACATCTTGCAAGATCTTGCAATAAGATAACGTTGTTAATAAGTTTGATCAACATGTCTTTATAACATGATTTTATTTAAAATTCTGTTATGTAAAGTGGCGGACAATAAGCATTCCCCCAAGGAATGCTAAGCCTTTAATTCTAATTTTTTTACTGTGGTGTTGTCTTTGATGTATTTTATTTGTTAGTTTTCTGACCTAAATATATATTTTACATTGACTTTTACAATTTCTATTATTTGATTTAACCAGTAACTTGAAAAAAAAGGAAATTAATGCCTCTGTGAAAGCAGTTTCATTCCCACAAATGGATGTAATTCCTGTGTAGTGCCCTAAATCAGCAAATACCCAAACTGAAGGGAAATGATGGAGATAATCTGATTATCAACTCCCCGCCCTCCACCCTGAGCTGCTGCTTCTGTCTCCATCATTTCAATCTGTACTCAAACCAAACCCTGTTTCCATTAATAAACAGCACACAGTGCTTTAGTGTTTCTCCTTACAGATGCTGCTGTGAGCTCAGCTGGGCCATCTGCTTGTGCTCTGAACCAGAAACTCTGCTTTTAGCGTTGCCCGATGGCTCTGACCGGATATACGTCTTTAAGTACACTTTCATTACTTGGACTGTGGGGGAGTATACTGTGACTTTAGACGTTAGAGAAGAAATTTCAAGTGTATACATTCATATGTTTTAYTAATTAAATGTTTGAAAGGTTTTGTCTTTCAGTTATGATCTAATGAATCTATGGTGTCAAATGTTGGACAAAAGAAAACAATTTCTCTTTATATTTTACTGTACTGCTTGAAGTAAAACAAAAATAAAAATGCATTTTATAGATCAATTTAAACTCAGTTTATTTCAAAAAGGGTGTCTAAACTAGATTTTCTATTTTATTGAACTTTTATTAAATTTCRATCGGGGATTAATAAAGTTTTCTGATTCTGATTATGCTTTTTTTTTTTGTATTGTTTTTGTCCATGTCTCTGTGTGTCTGTTACCAACATCATAAACTAATTCAACATTTCAACCAAAACATCATCACCATTTCTTATAAGATGGTCTTAGTTTAAAACTCTTCATAAAAACCTGCAGAAGGTTTGCATTCCTTCAATTAAAGCTTTCACTTATTTTATTTATTTGTTGTCGCAACATTATTAGATTTAATTTTGGTAAAACTAGTGCTCAAATGGTTTGAAAACCATTTGACTTAAAAGGGTTTAAAAACACTAAAAATTAAATGAGCTGCACTGTAAGACTTCCAGCTACAACTATTATTATAATGTGCGTTTTTATTCTTAAATTAAATAGTTATGTTTAAAATCTAGACCTGTTTTAATCTATCAAATATTCCAGCTGCACTCACTCAGTAATCACCTTAGACTCAGTTCACCTTCAGCTTTCCTGCCATCAGTRTATGTTTGCTGCCTGGAGGAGTTTGTCCTTTGCTGTAATTGTTTTGCTTCTTTGTCAGCTTTATGATTTATTTAGTACAACCCTGTTTTGTTCCTCAGGTTTGTGTTTGAGTCTGCATTTTTGTGTCCGTTTGTTCACCATCCCATGACAAAACCTTGTATGGCAGAAACATGATTGTTAAAAGCTTCAAAGAAGGATTTGTTTCACAAAATGAAAAAAAGAAAACAACTTGTTCTTTCTGATTGTTATTTGCAAACTTGTGATGCAGCACAAGACTGATGGACATGTGAGTGGAAGAACACAGAGTTGGCCAGCCAATGCTGTGACAGCTAATAAAAAATTCTCATGTGACCTGAGCCCAGTGCGCCTCGGAGCTGCTGCGTTCCAGCGGTGGTGCTGGCTGTCCCCAGCAGTAAATCTGTCGCGCGCTCAGAGCAGGATGCGCTCTCTGCTCCGGCTCTTCATCACGGGATTATTGTCCGTTCACTTTACAATGCGGAGGCGCGCAGACCTGGACCATGAATAACAGCACCGGCTGGGCGCTGATTGGAGAGGAAGAGCCACCGGCGCACCGAGCTCTGACCGGCTGCGTCCTGGCGCTGCTGATCGTCTGGACCCTGTTGGGTAACCTGACGGTGTGCGCAGCGGTGTACCGCTACCGCCACTTGCGCGCCAAAGTCACCAACATCTTCATCGTGTCTCTGGCGCTTTCGGACCTGCTCGTGGCCGTGCTGGTGATGCCGTGGAAAGCCGTGGCGGAGGTGGCCGGGTTCTGGCCTTTTGGAAGTTTCTGCAAGACCTGGTTGTCRTGTGACATCATGTGCTCCACGGCCTCGATCCTGAACCTGTGCGTAATCAGCGTGGACCGGTACTGGGCCATCTCCAGTCCATTCTGCTATGAGAGYAGCATGAACAAGAGGGTGGCTTTCGTCATGATCGGGGTGACCTGGACGGTGTCCGTGGTCATCTCCTTCGTCCCCGTGCAGCTGGACTGGCACCGGGCCGGGATCGGCGATGCGGAGCGTTTGGCTCCACCACGTGACGGGAGCTGTGACTCCAGCCTGAGCCGGACCTATGCCATCTCCTCCTCCCTCATCAGCTTCTACATCCCGGTTCTCATCATGATCGTCACCTACACCCGCATCTACCGGATAGCCCAGATGCAGATCCGTGTCATATCCTCCCTGGAGCGCGCGGCGGAGCACGCGCAAAGCTGCCGCCGATCGCACCTGCCCGAACTTTTCCCTCACCTGTGCTCAGAAATCGGCGCCACCTCGTATCAGTCACACCTSAACGCGGACCCCCGTGGCCCCGATCGGTCCCACCGCGAGCTGAACGTCTCCATCAGGAAGGAGACAAAAGTGCTGAAAACTCTCAGCATCATCATGGGTGTGTTCGTCTGCTGCTGGCTGCCTTTCTTCATCCTCAACTGCGCCCTGCCCTTCTGCCCTGCACCGGGGGCCCCGGGGGCCCAACGTGGCCCTTACTGCGTCAGCGAGAAGACGTTTGATGTGTTCGTGTGGATCGGCTGGAGCAACTCGTCCCTCAACCCGGTCATTTACGCCTTTAACGCGGACTTCAGGGACGCTTTCCTGCGCCTGCTGCGTTGCCGCGGACGGGGCTTCCTGTCCGCCGTGAGCGCAGCGGTGGAGACCATGATGGCGCACAACGAGGCCGGGGTCCAGAGGCGGGACAGTCCCCTGCAGGCCAAGCTGAGCGTCTCCACGAACACCAGGGGCAGTCAGGACAGCGGGAACACAACGGTGACCGTGTTTTATCACAAAGAAGCGACAAGGGAACAAGTGATAGACACTGAGGAGAGATATGAGGAAGATAAACTGACACAGATACCCAAATAGCACTTTAATAAACTCTTTATTTCCAGATATAAACTYCACTTTTCTTTAAAGGTTCTCAATAAAACCGTTATATCAGGTTATCCTGAGAGATATCACATGCAGTTTGAAAGAGTTTACTCAGCTTCATTATATTTTAAACGCAATTCTGAAATGRGGGTCCACACTCAATATAAACAAAACACTTGGCTGAATCCACAGAAAACCACATGTTTGACCTATTTTGATAGGTATGATGGAATAGACAATAATCTGGTAAGTTTAACCTTTCCGTCACTTTTGCTGCTTCGTAAACAAATGCAGGTGCTTGTTGGCATCAGGTCACAAATTTTACAACTTTTTCATTCAAGGACACATTAACCACATCAGAAAAACTGTGTTGATTTTGTGACTATTTCTTTGTCTGGTGCAATGYGTGGCTTTAAAGTATAAGGCTTTCAGTTAAAATATGTTGAACTAAAATCTTTATGAATACTGTCTTCTGTGCACTAAATTAAAACAAATGTTCATTTTAAATCTCTTCTTTTCAGTAATTTTTTAAACAACGAATGGACCACTCATTATTTGCCATATTCGGGCTATTCTGAAAAGGGAAATTTATGAAGAATTAACATCTTAACTGTAGATAGCTCTTTGAAAGCCTGGACCAGTGAGCTAACAGCTCTTCAGAGCAGAAACATCGTGTCCTAAAACAACTCAACTCTCAAAAAAGTAAAAAAAAAAGTTCATGCATGTTCTTTACCTGCTTCTTTTTTCTGGGTCGCAGGGAGTTATTTGTCACTATGAAAGAGGAAGGGTACAMCCTGGACAGGTCACAAGTCCATCACAGGGTCAGACCGATTCACACTCTCACCAAGGMACAATTTAGAGTTACCAGTTAACCTATGGTGAGAGAAAAGAGGGAGAACCTGTAAACTCCAGACAGAAAGACCTCAGGAGGCAATCCTGCCACCGTCTCACTGAGAGGCAACAGCTCTAACCACTGTACCACCATCACCACTCTTTAATTAAGTTTTTTACAATGTCACACTTCTTTTCAGCATACAATTTGTGAGTACAAGCATTTCTAGTGGGCAATTAAGTTTTTCCAGTACTCTGCAAAACAAACAATTCCTTGTACATAATTCTGCTGAACAGTCAGTTTTTCACCCAAAGAGCAGTAAATTATATATGTTGATTTGCTGCTATTAGGACAAGGATAGGCTGTTAATATTTACATAAATAAATGAAATTATGATAAGTGATAAAAATATTTCAGTAAAAATAGTAACAATCAAAATGTTTCATTTTGTTTTTAACATGTCAATCTACACAAACGGAAATAGTTTTTTCAATATGGTATGAAATTGCTGCAAAAAGCAGTAAGTGCTTTTAACGCTTTTCAGTTGATTTTACTTGTTCGGTGAGAAAAATCCAGTCTGTCTTCCTGGGGTTTAACAAGTGCATCAAAATCAGTCTGAATGTCTGATGATGTGAAGAACAGCAGAGAGGTGATCGTCAGGGACAGAGGGTCTGGATTTGTTGAACTTGAACTGAGAATGTCTGTTCACAGATCCAAATAGGACCAATCTAAGAGCTGATCTTAGTGCTTTCTTAAAGTAAACAAACAAACAAACAAACAAACAAACAAACAAACAAACAAACAAACAAACAAACAAACATTTGGTGGGGGGTGTCATTGGCTGGAAGGAAGTCAAGAAGAGGAAAACACTTCAACTCAAGAAAAAAACATTTTAAATGCAGAATTTATGGGGCTATCATCCCCCTCGACCTATTTTCTCTAAAGCAACAAAAGTAACTTGTAATATATTCTACAGGTAAAGGTTTTATCCGTCTTTGTTCGTTTGTTGGGGCAGCTGAGGCTTTAGCAGGTGGCGTTTTCCTCGGGCAGTTTGATCCCTGATCCCTGCATGTGTTTACGTGCCTCTGGGTAAGACACTCAACTTCACACTGTCCCAGATACACAGATTTGCAAACTAAATAACTCAGGAGGTATTTGTTGCGTCCTTGTAAAAAGCCAGCTGTCTTTACATTCCCCCCTTCAATGTATAGAGGCATTTATTAGAGCTTCTTTATAGTCTCTCCAAATGGGATTATATAAGTAAGTAAGTCACATTAGCACTCATCTGCTGAGCTGATGCACCATGCACTCTGTTTACTTCCCCTTCTATAAGAGACAGCCATGAATAATTTGTGCCTCAAGGTTGTTCCTGTGAAAGATGTCCAGACCTGTGAGAACACAGAGGCTTTTACGCTGACATCGCTCAAAAACACAAGACAGGAGTCCACAGAGAGGCTGCAGCTGAAAGTAGAGCACAAGACTGGTGGTCTCATGTGATGCTCTGTGGTAAAGTTTCTTCATATTAACGTTCAGTCATTTTCTTTCCCCTTAATGAAATTTCCTTGTTGGTGTAAAATATGTAGGATGATACCATTACTTTAATGAGTTAAAAATATTAATGAAGTCAAAGAGTAAAAAACAACCATTCTTTAAAAATATTTTAAAATCCTTAAGAAGTCCAAGTGGAAACGGTGGGAAGCAATTTTATAGTGGTGGTTGATTACAACCACAGTTTGTGGTCTCTGTTTCTATATTTAGCACTTCATTCATGCCACCTTTTAAAATGTGAACATGAATTTGCATTTCGTGGAATCCCATTTCAAATGAAATGGAAGACATTTGACTTTTGTTTCATTTTTTAAATGGACAAGTATTTAGTATGAAAAATACAAAACACCATTAGCGTTTCTAGTCTAAGCTTATGTCCCCAGATGAACCTTTTTGTTACATAAATGACTTCTGAACAGTTTGAAAAAAAAAAAAAAAAAACACAAAACAAATCTGAATAAAATCTGTTAGGTTTAAACAATATAAATTAAAAAAGAAGAAATAAAAACAGGTGATGGTTATTTATGAATGCAGCAAGGTTTCTTCTTTTTTTTCTTTTTCAGTTTTAGGAACAACCAGCTATGGCAACAAAAACTGGACCTCCTGTGTTTTTTGGAATGAKTATTGATAATAAACATCAGAAAATGTGCTGTGTTTAGATCTGCAGACCTGCTGTTTTAATGATGAACCTCCGGCACACYTTATTCTCAAACTGCTCACCCACAAACACTCAAGCTGGTTCTCTTACATTGTCTGCAGATCCAAACTTTGAAATTCATGCAGATAATATCAGACAGATCCAAGAACAGAACTGTGAAAAAAACAACAACTAATAAATGATCAATGACATTACAGACCCTTTTCTAGTGGGGTTCTGTGGAAAGGCTATGGAAAATTATTAACTTACCTGCTGCAGAAAGCTCTGTGATTGATTTAATTATAAACTACAACAAACTGTTGATTTTTGACCAGATTGATGAGCTAATGAATACTCCAAGCACTGCAAGGGTACAGTGGATTTTTGTTGATGTAAATTAACTCTTATCTCCATAAGCTGAGTTTGTTGTTCATGCCAGCGCAAAGTCTTTACATCACTGACATGATGACATCACACAGTTATCTAGATCAATTTCTGTGGTTATTTAATAGCGGCAGTAGCACCGAGCTGTAGCATCTGATGCAGATTGGAGCACTTCCTGAAGGAGTACCCTACTTTATAATAATAATCTTTATTTAACCAGACAATTTTCACAGATATTTTATTCAAAGGGAAGCCTGGGCCTGAATGCAGCCTAAATATGCAGGTTTTTGGACTGCTCCAGAGAACCTTAAGGAGAAGATGCAAACTCCACACAGAAAGACTCTAATCCCAAACTGGGGATTGAATCCTAACCTGTTTGCTGTGAGGCAACAGCGCTAACCACTAATCCACTGCTGCCAAAATGGCATTCCCCCACCCAGAACAACCATATAATGCAAAGGACAGCTGGAAATAAGTGCGTCTGTGACATTCAAGAGTGAGAAAACAAAATACATTTTTTTCTACACTGGAAAAGTTAGTTTTTGTGGCTTAGCATATATAAAAAAGAACAAATTCCTCCTAAAACATACAAACCATGCATGTAAGTTCCCATAACCAGAGCTGTTGTGTACAAAGCTGAGTAGAAAACATAAAGTAACATTGTGCAAAAAGCTTGAAAGTACGTAAACTTGCCTGTAGCAAGCTTTTCCTCACAATTAAACAAAGGATAACAGAAGTTACACAATACTTTATAGTAGTAAAGAATTTTTTATTTTTTCCTGAATGGACAGTTGCATGGTTTTAAGCCGATCACTGCTGGCTGTCTGTTCTCATTCATGGTGCTGCGTGAAGAAGCTGAATTATTAGTGCGAGCCATCAGAAAGCCTGCCATCCCGCTCTCACAGCGTTCATCTCTAAAAATAGACTCAGGGAAGACACTCAGAGGAGAGACGCCAGAGTTTGTGAGCCGTGCACGGAGCATTCGAGGGAAAAGCCACAGCAGTWGCCAAGTTTTTACTTCTAAAAACTGATGAAAAAGAGTTTGAGTTAAATAGAAACAACTCCTAACATCTCCTAAATCTGATCCAGTCAGAAGTGGTGTGGCTAATGACTTCCTGTTTGTTCTATGTAGTTTATGAGATTTGTCTGTGGATAGTTAGTGCGAAGTGATGGTACACTAAAGACATAAAAGCAGTGTACTGATGAGTATCCCCCATTTCAAGCACTGCAACTATGGGTGTCCAGCACGAGGTATGATTAGAAAATATGTCCTGATATATTTAATGAGTATGGAGGACCAAATCTGAGATAATTAGAAATAAAAGCAAAAATATATAACTGGACCAATAAATAAATAAATACACTTAAATGCACCAATTAAATTAAAAAAGGAGAACTTTATCTCATGTTTTATAATTTAACTGACCTTCATATTAATTTTTCCAGCTTAGTTCCAATAAATGACATATTTTACCACATAAATTAAAATGTACTGTTTTTAACAATGTATATTTTTTGTTTTTTCTTTTACTTGTACATGGATTTGTGTCTCCTAAATCAACGTTTCCCAACCCTGGTCCTCAAGACACACCATCCTGCATGTCTTAGAAGTTTCCCTGTTTTAACACACCTGATTCAGTTGATTGCAGTTCAACAAAAGCCTGCTGATCASTTATCAGTTGAAATCAGCTGTGTTGAAGCAGGGAAACATCTGAAACATGCAGGGCAGTGTGCCTTGAGGACCAAAGTTGGAAAAACACTGTCCTAAATGATTATATTTATTTATTTATTTTTAGTCATTTTTCTCTCAAGTCATTTTATTTCCATGTGTTGCTTTTAGATTTCTATGATTCCTGTGTTTACATTACCTTATGCTCTTCTGGCTCATTATGCAAAAACAGTGMGCAGTCCWTCTTGTGTCAGCTCCTCTCCTATTGGTCAACAGACAGGAAGAAGCAGGATCCAAGAGCAAATCTACTGCTTGTGCTGCCTCAGTTTAGCTTAAAGTTTAAGGTTTAGTTTAAAGCAAKAAGGCAAGGAGGAAAACACTTACCTGTGCTTTTGRTTTAACTAAACMTTAAAGTTTAAGCTAAACTGAGGCAGCACAAGCATYCACAGTGACAGTAGATCTGCACATGGATCCTGCTCCTTCCTGTCTGTTGACCAATAGAATAGGAACTGACCCAAGAAGGACCACCCACCCTTATATAAGTTGGCAGAAATGTAAAAGGTAAATACAGGAGATAGAGAAATGTAAAAGAAACACATAAGAGACACTTGAGAGAAAATTACATAAAAATAATCATTTAAGAGAAACTGATGCATCTACTAAAGGACAACAATATATATATATATATATATATTAAACAAAATATGTGGTAAAATATATTATTTATTGGAACAAAGCTGGAAAATTAAACATGAAGGTCAGTTAAATTATAAAACAGGAGGTAAAGTTCTCTTTTTTAAAATTTAATTGGCGTATTTTAAGTGTATTTATTTATTTATTGGTCCATTTACATGTTTCTGCTTTTATTTCTAATAATGTCAGATTTGGTCCTCCATAAATGAGAAGCAGAGATGACAAATACATTTAGATGACTTCTTCATTTTATGTGCTGCACTGTACTTCCCAAACACTTTATTATCATCTTGTTTTGTGTGAATAATTTCTGACTCAAACATCTGAATTAAAAAAATATCAAAGAAGTGTGAGGTAAATATTGTGTTTAATAAACAAACATCAGTCAGGTAACTGACATTAGTCTGGGGGATTGAGAATGGGGGCAGATATAAAGCACAATGCACATGTGTACAGGTGTCAGGGGACATATTRATCTGTTACACAAGGTGCCCCCCCTTAGTGTGAGGAACAGGAAGCTCTATATAACATACAGATCAGGATCCAAGTCTATACGGTACAAAAAACTTAGCAGCAACATGTTAACATCAGGGACCGAGGGGGCTAACAGGGTAGTTTCATTTAGAAAAAGTCACAGTATTATTTAAATTTGTTAAAAAGGTAAAAAGAGCTCTATGTATCCGCTATAGGGTCAATGCTACTCACAGGATCTGTGTGTGAAATACATTGGTAGGGAAAACTATACATTTATACTCTAATATAAAGACCTTCTGGTAATGGCACAGTACAAACTCTCAGAAAACACGACAAAAATATACAATGTCTTCACGTCACATTTGCAGATTAAAATGTAACTAAGGTCTCTGGCAAGGATGACAGTTTCAGTGATCCAAAAAACAAAACAAACCTCTTTTACACCAAAATAAAGAACAGCATTTTTTTGTTAGTTTAGCTATCTTGACAGAGTATGTCTTTTTAATACAAAAATAAGGACAAATATAAATTAATATATATTAAAACTGATACATGGGGTGGGGGGATCTATTGAATAAGTACAGGTATTTATGATACAATAAATACTTGTCATAAACATGGAGACTGCAGGTGAGAGTGTTTGTGTGTGTCTGTTGTTCAGTAGCAGTAAAAAGAATCGCCGCTCGTGTACAATCGTGCACACAGTCACAGAGGATGGATGAGGCCTGCAGGTTACAGTGGTGGTTGAGGAGGTTATAGCTGCTCCACASTCCCCCYTGCTTTAAGGCAGCTCCTCCTGGTGGCAAGTCTGTGGTACTACAGTAAAAGTTCTTCCTATAACACACACAACTCATGACAGGAAGCAGGAAGTCTACAGGAAGCGGTCATCCATCAATGACCGGTCCGGAGGGGAAGAGAAAACGTGGCACACCATTGGAGTCGTCACGACCAACAAAAAAGAAGCAAATGTCAGGACAAAAAGTCAACTTTTTTTTTGTCTTTTTCCTCCACTTCTTAATAAAAAATAAGTCTGTTTTTGAACTTTACAATACAATTCAGGATTCCCACCAAGGACGCATCAGTCATCAGTCCAGCACTGACCAAAAAAKCTTTTTTTAAGTTGTTTTTGTTGTTTTTTATTTTTTTATTCCACTTTTTCAGGATTTTTATTAAAAACAGTGTTGGTGGTAATAATACTCTCAGGAGGTTGGGCCGAGTTTCCTCATGGCAAACGAGACGGATCAAGTAAGGCGGGCAGGAACACAAAACATATCTGGAGAAACAGAAATCTGTCGAGGGCYCAGTCTTTTTTTTTAAATTCTCTTTTAACATTTTTTTTTATGAAGAACACTTTGTACAGCCGCACTTGACAACTTTTTCCACTTCCTGGACAAAAGAAGAGCCGTCGGTGCACTGGAAGGTGTATTTCCTACGTTTGCTGCGGAGGGGGGTGCAGCAGGTGCCCTGTCCTTCTGCTCCCCCRGGGCAGCTGCCTCGACACTCTAGACGGGAGACCTTCTCCTGGGTTTGGCACGCCGCGTAGCCTTGCTGTCTCTGGTAGACATCTCTGACCCGTTCCCCTCGACAGGCAACCTCTGCAACAAGGAAACGGTGTCAGAAATCCCCCAAAATTTAAGAGAAACTCCATTAAGTTTGCTTTTTAGAAAATGTGCACCAAGTGGGGTGGTAGTGTACCTTGAACATCTCAGATGTTGCATTAATTTTTAATGTTTCACTTTATATTTATGGTACACATATTAAAAGGAACACATCAATGGTTGGGGGAGTAGATAGGAAAAAGGGTAGAAAATAGTCCTCATAAAAGAAATGAGTGTTGTTTTACAAAAAACATAAAAAATCATGTTAAAACACCCTAAAAAGAAACTTAACATAAAAGCAGATAATAGCAACAATAAACAACAAAATATAATACGTCATCATAAAAATGACTATGCAAGAAAACAAAAGTGCTGCAAAACTGGTATAAAACAGCTGAATGCAGTGAAAACAAAGGGTCAGATTGCATTAAATGGGAGGGATTTAGAAAATGAATTCATGAACGTTTAGTAATCTGATCGCCTCACCTGAGTTTCACCTCGCGTAGGATTAAAAGGAAGCTCAGGAGATACTAATTAAAAAAGTTGAGCGGTTAGAAACAGTGCACAAACAATAAAAAGTTTTAGAAACACACATTGTTAAAAGAGATCAACAAGAGCTGTCAGGCAGGGAAGCAGAAGCTTAGACGAAGGTATAATATGTTAATAAACACAATTTAGATTAAAAAAATTGAGCTGTGTTGGTGCCACAAACCCAAAGATTCCTTGTTTTTCTCACCTCGGTCACAAGCCTCTCCTGTGTATCCACTGTCACACTCGCAGTAAGCTTGGCCCAGGCCTGAAACTCTACATTTTCCATGTTTGCAGCGAGACAGGCTGCAGGGTTTAGCCGCAGCTGGATCCTGCTCATCGCACAGCACACCAGCAAAACCGGGCTGACAGCGACACGAGTACGAGTACGAGTTGATGGGGATGCAGGTTCCGTGGATACACCTTGAACGAGGGAGAGAAAGACGTGGATCGATGAACACCGACAGCTGTTTTTTCTTTAGGATTTGACACCCCCCAAGTTTAACTTCTTATTGATATTAAACCTATGAGAAAAGCCTTGTCCACTCACTTGTTGCCATCACAAGCATTGCTAACTTGCTGGTCACAAAGAGCGCCCGTCCACCCAAGGCGGCAAGTGCACGTGAAGCCACGGTGACCCGTTGGGTGGCAGTCCCCCTGGACGCAGACGCCTCTCTGACACGGCTGGCAGCCAGGCTCCACGCCGTTACCCAGCCACTGGCTGCTGCGCTGCGAAGTCCCAGAACCTGAACCTTTTCGATCCAGTCCAGCTCCCAAGTTTTGGAGCTTCCCGTTGATGTAGAAGTTACGGAGGCAGCCGTGGAAGCTGGTGCCGTTCCGGCCTCCAGAGCTGAGCTGCAGGGCCGAAAGACCCCCGGAGACCCTCTCTGGCATCCCTGAACAAGGACGAGTCAAGATTTGATTTACTGTCCTCCTTAAGTCAGGCTGATTTCTTATTAATTGTGGTAAGTGATAAAAGTTTGCAGTCATCTGCACTMCAAAAACCGTCCATCTTACCAAGATTTAAAATCTTATATCAGCCAAAAAGTCTTTTTGATCTTGTTTTGAGACTGATTTACTAAACAAGAACTGTTTGTGTAAGAATAATAATCTTGTTTTCAGAATGTGTAAGATTATTTGTCGTTAGGCTGAAAATTTGACTCAAATTAAGTCAAAAAATTTCTGCCAATGGAGTAAGAAAATTTTACTTGGTAAGATTCTTGAAATAATAAAAAAATTGAGTCAAATCAAGTATTTCAAGGATCTTACCAAGTACAATTTTCTTACTCCATTGGCAGACAGTTTTGACTTAATTTGAGTCAAATTTTCAGGCTAACAAGACAAATAATCTTACACATTCTGAAAACAAGATTATTATTCTTACACAGTCAGTTCTTGTTTAGTAAATCAGTCAAAAAAAGATCAAAAAGACTTTTTGGCTGATATAAGATATTAAAACGTGGTTAGGTGGACACTTTTTGCAGTGTGTTGGTATTTTCTGCTGTAATATTTTTAGTACTATTATTTCTGATCACCCTCCAGATACTAATGTTGTGTATATCATATAGATYTACAGTATTTAAGACCATAGACTGGGAAGTTACCTCCCACGTAAAGTGGAGAGTCTATATTGAGTGTAGACTGTTTGCTGATGGAGTTGATGGATTTGGGTGCTCCGCCYTCGATGGACAGAGTCAGAGTCTGATCTGATGCCACCAACTCCACAGAATGGAAGCTGCCATCGTTCACCGTCTCCACGCTGCCAGAGGAAGGATGGAGAGGTTCAGACAACACGTCTCACCATCAGCTGCCTGTGAACGTGTCCTCCTGGGAGTGCACGCACCTGTAAATAGCGGAAGGCGGGTAGGATCCAGTGTCGTAGCTGACCCTGAGACGTCCCCTGTACAGCTCCATTGCAATGTGATCGTTGTCGCCTTTATACAGCAAGACGCCGCTGTCCTCATCTGTGGCAATCTGAAAACAGATTAAAGCAGCACAACACATTTTCAATACTTTGATAAACTGAATGTATCACTGATTTACTTACAGTTGCTCATACAGAGRAGCTAACAAGTTTAAACACATAGATATTTTAAAATCCATGCTTCTCACATCATATCTACCTACAGGGCAAGTACCAGGTACATAATAAGTATGCACTGGATTATGTACTGCTACCCACTTTTATGTTGATATTGTTAGCCAATATTTTCTTCTGTTGGTGTCCATATTTACATTGTGTTCATCAGTGTTGAGACATTACTGTATTTATGTTTTAAATGAGGAAAAAAATCAATGCGGATTAAAGTGACAAAAATGTAAAACAAATAAGTAAATAAAGCACAAGTGTAGACACGTTTAGGTGAATGTCTGTCTTCAATTGTGACATTGTGCAACTTGGTCATTAATGTCTGCAATTAAATTAACAAAAAACTTTACAAAACTGAAACTCAAAGTGCAAATGAAAAGAGCCCATTGATCTTACTTAATATAAAATAGACAATGCAGTTTTGAAGTAATACAATTAAAAATGACTGTATGACATTAGGATCATGGGAGTTTTAAAAATGAGGTACGCTAGAGCAGTGGTTCCCAAACTTTTTATCTTCTGACCCACAAAATATTCATGGCAAAACCTTGTGACACCAAATATTACTGGTCTGAGTACACAAACTTTGTTAATAACCCTAAAAACAAAGGATACACCAATATAAATACTTATTTATACTTATTTTGTGTTTTTGTAATAATTATAGGGAAAATATTACATCACCAATTATTTTATTACACTTTAAATTGATTTCTGAAGTGCAGTGGTTCCCAAACTTTTCAACTTTTGACCCACAAAATTACAGTAGCAGAGACCTGTGCCCACAACTATTTTTGGATGATAAACATTTGTATCAGGTCAACTAAACATGGGCATAGTAACAATATMTATTATTCTACATTTATACATTTTAGGCAACTAAGGCAAAAAATGRAATTAATTTAGAAAATCTTTTCAGGAACCCACCTTGATGTTTCAGGACCCCACTTTGGGTCCCGACCCCAACTTTGGGAACCACTGCGCTAGAGCATGGATTGCATGATAGGCTGTAGTTTAACCTCCAAAGTGTCACATTTCAGAAATATTTCTTTAAGGATGGAACCAAAGTTTGAAAGACAAAACAGAAAATAGAAAAGCAGCAGCACCAAAGTAGCCTGCAGATAAAACTCTGTACCTGCAGACTGATGTTGGTCTGAGGRGAGAGGAGGCTGGAGGGAAGCTGCAGGTACGACTCTCGGTTGACGAAGTTGACGCTGACGAGCGTTTCGCAGCGCTCGCCCTCGTAGCCGTGGGGACACTGGCACTGGGGGTCMGCTCCCACCACAATGCACTGAGCCTCGTTGAGGCACTCGTGGTTGTCACAAGGACTGGTGCGAGGAAGTACCATCGGAGGGGGGAACTCGCAGAACAAGCCACTGCAGCACAGCATGTTCACACACGTCACATGTAGAAAGAACATTTTAAACAATGCAGRTTGGATGGCAAAGAAAACGACTGGAAATATTAAACCCTGAACACATCGTCCTAATGAGCAGAAGGGGAGAGTCTCCCATCAGTGTTAGCTTCAGCAGCTTCCTTTACCTGTATCCCTCCGGACAGATGCAGGTGTATCCGTTCACAGCGTCGATGCAGTGACCTCCGTTCTGACACTTGTTTTCCTCACAGTCGTCAAAGTCCAGCTCACAATGCTCACCTACATAACCGGGAGTGCACTCACACCTTTAGGATATGAATACACACACAACCAATCACAACACTTATCAATTTACTGATGAATAMTTTGCTGAATTTGAGAAGAAAGGAAAACACACCAGCTCCCCGCTGACCCTCAGAGTCTGAACGGTTCACATATAAAACAACGTTATGTGCTAAAGAGCAAGRTCAGCCCAAAGAGTAAGAAACAATCCACAAACTCAAGTCTATTTTTTCACTGTACAAGTGTTGAAATGCTGTGGTAAAGATCGCTACGCCTGTGCGTGTGTGTATAATCCACTCACTTGTATCCCTGAGGTGTCAAAATGCATTTTGAGTCGTGCTGACACGGGTTCAGCTCAGGGGCACAAAAGTCCAGTTTCTCTTCACACAGCTCTCCTGGAAACACACACACACACACACACACACACACACACACACACACACACACACACACACACACACACACA